AAAATTTTTGCGATAATTCATATTTTTTTGACTCACTCTCCCCTTAATTCTAAGTTCTTGCTTTTTACTGCTGCTGCTGTTGTTGTTGATAAGCACAAATAAAAATCAAACTTGTGTGTAAAGCAATTGTTAATTCTTTTTAATTGATTGGAAAACTATCTGTCAGATTGTTGAAAAGCTAAGTTTCTTTCTTCATTTCCTTCTTTTCTTTCTTTTGCTGATTAAAAATAAAATGGACATTTTACTAGTAGTACCTTTTATTACACCAACTGTGCTAAGTAAAAAATGCAAAAATGAAATTGACAAAATGTTTGAAAATAACCTTTTAGCAAAACTAGATGGCTTAGCACAGTTGATGAAATTTTTATTTTAAATCAGCCTATCCCTAAAAAAATATTTTATTAAATTTGTAATAAATTATTCACTTTTTTGAATAATTACAAAATTTACAAAAAACGTTTAAATTAAAAAAATGTAAGTTTTGTGTGTTCAAAATTCATTTTGTTACAAATCGGTTATGCTACAACACCAACTGCAAAAATTACTAGACATGACAACAAAAAAATTGCAACAACTTGAGCATTGCAAAGTTAAATAAATGGAATTTTAATGCAAGCAAACTTAGGTTTGAGATGCTGCCTTTTGAGGTGATGATAGTAGAAGATGGTAGGCTGCACTTGATGAAACCTGCCAGCACCTGTACACAACAACACATCCTTTACAACACAAACAACATTTCATTAACACCCAAATTTTACCATTACCACAGCTTAATCTTATCCGGGTCACTTGAGAAAGTTATCCAAAAGCTATCAAAACTAAAAGTATTAAAAGTAGTAGTTATCAAAACTCTACTTGATTGTAATTAATCAATATAAAACAGGTGCACTTTATAAAATCCCATTGCCAAAACCATTTTGTGCTTTAAAATCTAACAATTTTAAAACTGTAAAAAGTATAAAAAAAATTAAAATGCGTTTCATCCTTGCCACGCTGCTGCTGGTCGCCTTTGTCAACGCCGTTCCGTTGGGTAAATGAAAAAATAAAAAATAAAAATTAATAAATTACTTTTTTAAGTTACTTAAACTTACTTATATAATTTAATAAAACAAAAAACATTTTTATTTTCAATCAGCCGAAGAGGCAGAAACCTCCACCCGAGGTCGTCACGGTGAAGGTCACGAAACCTCGGCGCCTCACACACAGGCTCCCCACACTGACCTTCCTCCGCACACCACCGAGCCTCCTCACACCACTCCCCCAGCGCACACTGATGCCCCTACCACTCCCCCACCGACGCATGGNGCCTCACACACAGGCTCCCCACACTGACCTTCCTCCGCACACCACCGAGCCTCCTCATACCACTCCCCCACCGCACACTGACGCCCCTACCACTCCTCCACCGCACACTGACGCTCCTACCACTCCCCCACCGACTCATGGCCCCACCCACGGTCCCACTCACGGCCCCAACACTGAAGCCCCGTGGACGGCGACGGTGATTGAGGGCGGTAAGGAGTACCACGTCACCTGCACACAGGAAGGCCCCATGGCTCACCCCGGCAACGTCCACAAGTACATCATTTGTGAATATCAGGCGGACCACAAGCACTGGCACATCACGGTGATGCCCTGCGCCATTGGCACCCGCTGGCACCAGGCCATCAAGAACTGCATTCAGGATAACTGAAGAGCGTTTTAACTAGTTACAGTTTTTGTAGTAGGACAAAATTGTGTTGAATGAATAAAGTTACTTTTTAAAAACGGTTAAAAACCTTTTATTTGCCAAATCCTTGTAATAAAGCTTGTAATAAATTGAAAAACAATACTAAGCATCTACTTCACTAGATGGCAGGTGGCTGAATATTAAAAATTTTTATATCTTTTAAAATAATTAAAGTAATGATGAGGAAATAATGTCTATAGTTTATTATGTTTTAAATATAATGAATGTAATTTTTTCTTTTTTATGAAAGACAGAACAGTTAAAAATTACGTTAATTAAAAATTTAAACAAAAAAATTACTATTTTTAATCTTTTACACTCATTCCAACATCACCTATTGACACAACAACTGCAACATCAAAACTTCAATTAACAAAAGTTGCAAAAATACAACTGAAGTGCACCAGCAACAAAAAAACGCAATTTAAAATGCAAAATTGCACTTTAATCAAACAAGACAACTTGCACTTCCTCTTCCTTTTTCTCTTTTTTTCAACTCAAAACAGTGTGAAATTAATAATTTAATTTTTCTGGCTCAAAATGCTACTTCTTCTGTTGCACAGAAAAATTACATCATTACGCTCAGTGGTGAGCGGTAGCAGCAAGACGAGAAGAACAATCAAGTGAACAAATATTAATTCAGAACAGCAGCAGTAGCAGAAGCAGCGTTTGAACCCTGTTAAAACTGTCACATTTCAGCGTTGATGTACTCACAGCGTGGAAATTTAAACACTTAATTTAGTTAACGTGATGATGAGGGTGGTGAGAGTAGTGTAAAACGAAGAACAAATGTTGAATATGAATTTTCAAATGCAAAAAAAATTTTCCTCATCATCATTTCTCTCATATTTTCTGCAACTGTCAGATTGCAAATTTGAAACGGGGGGTCATAAAATGAAGTATTTTAAAAGTAAAAAAATGAGAAAACTAATTGTCTTTTAACAACATAAAATTTGATCCCTAAAATACATACAACTTATACAACCCTTAAAATAAACTAACTAAAATTTAATTTTTGCACAAACAACTAAAAAACATTTATAACTATTTCAAAAGTTTAAAATTAAAAAATTTTAAAACTAAAACTGCCAGTAAATCAACCAAAATTAAACATGGTTTTTGTAGAACTTTTTTTCTTTTTTCTTTCATCTTTCTACGCAGTTATTTATGTTTGTTGAGTTAGAGCAGAGCAGAGCAGTTGTTGTTCAGTTGTTCAATTGTTGGTCTGCTCTGTTCTGC